TTACTTTTAAGAGATTTTGCCATCCTCTTTATGCCATAGTATCTACAGTATTCCATTCATGTCTGGGGCTGTATGTGGCCATCGCCAACCATTGAGCAGGACCTGCACAAAGCTTTAACAATTGTTTAACAGTAATATTGTTTTTTTGCATCCTCGTGATGATTTACCTTTACTGGTCGCTTATTTAATTCACTGGATTAGCCAAAATATGTCTGTTAATCTGCAGATATTGTACAGACAACTGCAATACAATATGAAAAGTGTTGTAGCTACTCACACATGCTTTCCATCATGAGATCAGCTACTTTGCAGACAGTGCTATTAACTTATCAAACAATTTAACTCAATCAGAACCAATACACCAAGATCTGAAACAGATTATTTTATCAGATTATGTTGTAGCTGGGATTGTTAAATGATGCTATGGCCCCGTTTGCTCTAACGGACCAGGCATGTCTATAAGCCCTGACTGATTTCAAACTAGGACCCTGTGAGGCAACAGTGCCCAACAGTGCATCCGAAGATAAAATGAAGTGAAACAAAATGTTTTCAGTTTCATGCCACTTCAGACGACACTGACAACCCTTCTGTCTAACTTAAAAATCTATCTTTAAACTCATTACGTGCATACACTAGTTAGCTTCTGTTCTGTGTGCATGCTTGAGTCAAATAATATGCTAATGGCTGCAGGCAAATAGTATTATTTAAGTTATGCTATAAGAGAAACGCTGTCCCCTGCAGATGAATTATCATAACTATTTTGGCAGAGGTCAGCCACAGTGCAGTGCCTTAGTTAAGGGCAATGCAAAAGCAGGCGTAATAACCAACATGCATGTCTTTCGGTGTGGCCTTCCTGACCTCAAGGAAACGCACGCAGCCTAGTTACTGTTGGTGATACAGTGACCTAGTTCTGTCAGCAATGTTGAACCCACAGTTATCTGCATGTACACAAAGCAACAGTGAAGCGACACGACCACTCCAAAGTGCCAGACAGGGTAGTCACTCAAAACCAATGAGCTATGAGCAGAAATGGAATCATAGAGAATCCCTTAAAATTTTCGAATGAAAAATGTGACATAAATGAGACAATTCCTGCAAATTGAATGTTTTTAATCATTCTAAGCACACCCAAATACAGACTGTCTGTCTGACTGGAGTCAGACAGACGAAGTTAACTGCTTGTGAGGCCGCGTTCTGGTTCATTTGCCATTTTGTTTTCAAAACCCATTCTCGAGTGAGAAAACTATTAGGATTCAATGTGTCACAAATGCATTGTATCTTAACACAGCCAGATTTTTTTAATGCAGCCGAGAAAGACCTACAGTAAGCTTTCTGTTTCTTAAACACCCAGAACTAATGGTTTCTTGCCTCTGGGGATAATCATAAAGTAAAAATTCCACACTAATATAGTTGACCTAAACTACTGACCTAACAATCAGCATTTCCATGGTGTGTCATACTGCGTTTTCTATCATTTGATAGTCTGGTATCAGTGTGATAGGGATGCCATTTTTCTCTCCTACTTTCTGCTGCTCTCTATGGATCCAACTCTGGGTAATAGCATGTTCAATACCAACAGTCTGTTCTCTTTTTCAATTGAAAATCTGCATATCTGTGTGGAAGTTAACTTGTTGCTGTAACAAGATATGACTTCTCAGCTGTTCCCTTTTGTCAACATCAATTTTATTTGAATAGTCTTTCAGTCTTCTGCTGCATATAGAAATTTGTAAAATTGCAGTCACAATGCTATAACAACACTGACTAAAAAAGACAGCATTCTGTCACATTTGCTGACACTTGATTTGCTTAGTAGGGTCAGTCTGTGCCCTGCTGACAACAAAATGTCACTCACTAGATAGGTTGGCTTGGTATTAATGTGTGGGGTCAATAAACAGAGGTCCATTCTTTTGTTTGACACAACTGTATCATCTCAAGTCCATGTTAGCTACCTGACATACATAGTCCCCGTAGCACCTCTATGTAACAGTTAAGTCTTGTAACATGTGCTAACCTTGTAGCAAGATCTGGCTTTGACAATGTTGTTATAAACGTTACAACCACCATAAACACCACTGTCGTCAGCAACACATTCATCACGAGGCATAAAATAATCCTTGTTTGCGCCAAGAGTGAAGAGGTTGTCTGAGTGACATGGCCCATAATATGCACCACTGACAAACCAATTCCAAGGGGTATGTCACAAAACAGTTTACACAACAGGGTGGGCTGTTTCAAGATGGCTGGTGAAATTATGAGACAAAGCATATAAAACACTTTAAAACTTTTTTTTTTTTTTTTTTTTTTTTTTTTTAAAATCAACAAAATGTGTGTTATACCACTGCATCAGCACTGTTTAAAATCCTACTAGGGAGCGAAGTAACACAAGTTGATAAGCTTGCTCTGCTTTGTAATAAAGGAAGTGCCCAACTTGATTCATGCCAAATACATTGGTTGCATTGCACGCTGTTCATATTCTTTAGCAAGAGTGGTACACCAGTGCTTTCTGCTGCTTCTGTGCAGCTAACGCCAGATGAGCAGCTACACTTCCTAGGTATCCCACACCACCTAGCGAGCAGATTCGTGGATGGCCCCTCAAACCACGAGCTGTCAAAGCACCATCTTCAATACATCATCCACAGTTGAAGATAAATTTACAAGAGAGAGGCTTTGCTCTTTGTTGGCCCAGCAGTGTGTTCAGCACAGGTGGACGGTGCCTGTTTTATCACGTAGCTTTCTAGTCCGAGAGTGCATGCAGAACCAAAGAGGGGCAATGAAAACTGTAAACAAAGGATCCTGACACCACCTAAGTCGGCAAAGGGAACACGCCTTTACAATGAGCCAAGATCCTAGCGGAAACTTAAGACAACACTTCAGAAACACACGAACGATCCGGAGCAATATATTAATATCAAATTGGTAATACAGCTATCAGTGTCACTCCGCCATGTCCCGCCATCTTGGACAGGCAGCCAGCCATTAACGTTACTTGTAACGTTTGTCAACTCGTTCACATTGACTCCAAACGAAAAACGACTTGAACGCGTCCTGAAGTATTTTCAGTGGAGCTGTGCAATGTCACAAAAACAACCTAGCCCACCACATTGTGGCCAACATGCCAGGTCTATGCAAATCATACGGGTACTGGCTAACCTTACCAAATAACGTAAACGCGAAAGCTGTATTTGGTGCACCCTGGAAGACGGCTACAACATTAACGTTACTTCTACCAACGATGGAAGGGTTATAGCCTTTAAAGGATACTTATATGTTTTAGGCTGGATGTGAGAGTGCAACGCTTGCGACAAAACAACCTCACGACGACATAAAACTTTCCTCGTTAGAGTGCAATGTTTCCAGTAATCAATGTGCTACACAAAACCGTGACGACGTTGTGTTGTTGGTGGTACGATTGCAAGTACACAAGCATACGTTGTATGGAATAGCTACCCAGCTAACAGGGAAGGGCGGTTGCCTCACAAACGCTATCATACGTTAACGTTAACAAGCTAGTTAAGCCGAGAGAGTCGTAGCTAGTTGGCTATCCTGGCTAGCGACACCGCGTAGCCGCAGGTGCAGGGTCGCTCTTCATCGGATGAGAGTAGCTAACCAGCAAGCTAGCTGAATGGCTAAAAGAGGGGCTGCGGCTAGCTGGCCTTGGTCTCCTTAGCGAGTGGGCCACTTGCATTCAGACTGGCTTGCTACTTAGAGAGCAAATTCACTGCCATGCATGCTAGGAGGTTGGAGTAAGTCCTGTTGATCAGGATGCTGCTTGGTTGTAAAATACATCCAGTTAGATTTGCTACCTTCATCAACAGGGCCTTCGTTCTGGCGCCATCTTCATGAAGCTTCTGAAATCCAAACAGTGAGCTGCAAACAAGAAGACAACATAGGCGGCTCAGTATCACTTGCAGAGCGGCTCAGAGACATTTTCGACATACGAGAAACGAAAACAATTCATTTTCAAACTATGCGTGTATGTGAGTGCAAGGGGTTACTTTTCCGACCTGTCGATCCCGACCAAACTGTCCCTCTCCTGGGCTGTCAGTGTCGGAAAGTCCTCCTCTGTTTCACTCGCTTTTCCCGCCGCCATTTTCTTTCCCTCATCACCACTAGAAGAAGCCGAGCCGAGACTCCGAGCAGCAGCGCAGGCAGCAACGGCGAGAGACACACCGCACGATTGCATGGAAAATCGCGACGCGGGGACAAACGCGTGGCTCCGCCGAATCAAAGAAGAAAAACTGAAGAAAACAAAATGATCAAAAACTTTTTCCCAGGATGAAAAGATGCGATTCGATATAGTAAATCCTTTCGGGGGGACAGAAGCGCTCTCCGGGTGGCTCCTCAGTCGTCACATCTTTCATCACAAAGTGATCTTGTGCCGCTATCTGAATGAGAATAACTGAGTACAATATTCAAAATGTGAGTATTTCACAATAAAATGCGTTTCGGCCGCGAAGATAAAGTTGTTATAATTGTGTCACCTAAGCGAACCCACGCGCCGCTGTAGCCACGCCCTCTCCTCCCTCTTCAGCCAATAGGAGCGACTGCATCCTACCATATGACTTCCCTGCTATATCATTCTTTTATCTTAAATATTCATATTTCCCTGCAAACCACGGATCATTTATATCCTAATTATTGTAGAAGGGTATCAAAAATATTTAATGTCTGGACGTGTGTGTCAACCAATTGCATTAAAGTGCGAGAGCTTTGTTTCCCTGACAAATGCAATAATTTCCACACGGTAGAAATAATCATCCCGTATTCAGTGATATGTATTGACACTTGGGTGTCAGTTGTCGTTTTCCCTTACATGCTGGTTAAACGATGACTGCAATGCATCATTCGTTCCGAGCCTTTCACACCATTCAGCCTTTATTTCAAAGTGCCAACATAGTTCTATGATATCTTCCTCATACGGAGAAAAACTTGCAGCATTTTAGAAATAAAGTTGATAAATTGCTCTGCCTAATCAAACGATATCAGAGCATATTAACTGACGTGGCAATGCATCATAAAGTAGGCGTGGTTTAGTATTGTCAACATCCTGGTGACATAACTAGTTTCTCCAAAATGGCGACGGTGGACCAGAGAGAAGGTGAGTGATTTTGCTTGTTAAAAATAAAGGCGGTGTTACCCTCATAAGTATTGGAATATATAAGCTTTTCCACCAGCGATAATAAAATTAGGACACGCTCTCGACCTCAATGCTTTCACAGTCTGAAAAGGAAATATTAGTGTGCAAGATATTGAATTGGTAGCCATTTGACGCTAGCTAGCTAATATTAGCATCCCCAGTCATTTACATAGAATAAACAAGCAGCCCTCAGAGCCTGTTGTAGCTCGACTGCCCATACACACTTGAAGGTTCACTTTTATGTTTTGAGTTTGAACAGTCAAATAAAGGGCGCTGTCCATTATCAAGTCATTTGAAATACGTCTGTAAAGTAAACGAGGTGTATTACCATTCAGTGTGTACACAGCCCTCATTCTCCCTTCCATTCCGAAGGGCTGGTGGTTGTATATCTGTAGTATTGACTTTGTTAACTTTTTATCCTTGTCTTATAGCAGGTCAGGACGACCCAGAGAGTGAAGATGAGGTGTATGAGGTTGTGGACCTGACAGAATATGCCCGGAGGCACCAGTGGTGGAGCAGGGTGTTTGGGAACAATTCAGGCCCGATTGCTGAGAAGTACTCTGTGGCCACTCAGCTCATGATGGGAGGGGTGACTGGATGGTAGGGCCCGGGGATCTGTCTGCTCATGGGGTCACATCTGGATCAATTGAGGCTATATAACACTGTCTTCTGACAAAAGAACATTAACCCAACTTGACTGAGTTAATTTAGTAACACGTTAGAAACAACTGATAGTAGCGCATACTGCTAGCAAGGCAATAACATGACATGTGATTAAATCATTGTAATTAAGTGTCATTGTTACTTAAAGAACACTCCTCCATTCTTCTCGACACATACAGGTGTGCTGGTTACCTCTTCCAGAGAGTTGGGAAGATAGCTGCAACTGCTGTTGGTGGAGGGTTCCTTCTTTTACAGGCAAGAATACCATAACCTCAGTAATTAAATATTCACTACATCAACGTTGTCTCTCGGTGATAGAAAAAAAGTGCATCCTTTGCAAGATTAATTTTTTGCTCATTTACTTCATTGACAACAGGATGCCAGCTGACCAGCTAGATGCTCAGCTTATCCCTTTTCTACAGCAGAAATACTAGTATTGTATGTCAGCTGGCGCTAGGTGGATGTAGGCCATCTGGATTCTTACGGGGTGTTGCAGTGTGTTATCTTGCTTGATAAAAAATGTTTGTGTAACCAAATAAATTGCACCTGAGACAGAGTTAATTTATTGTCAGGCTGAGATGAGAATTTATGTTGGTTCCATTTTCCATAAGAGGTGTTTTCAGGAAAAACATCTTCCTGAACTTGATGTTCCCTGGATACGTATTTATATATTTTGAAAAAAGCTGGTGCACACCACATCCTTTTTTAAATACATAAATGATTTAACCTGGAACAAATCACCAGTCTCTACTGAAAGAAGACCTTTAAAGGTTCTATGTTAGGGACAGAATCATCTGTGTCTCTTAATGAAATTTGAATACCTTTTTTAATAAGGTAAATAGAATTTGTTTTGCAGACAGGTCTAGAGAGTCTCACACAGTTTTAAGTTAACTGCCAGACAGTGATGCGATAGAGCACAGAAAGATTCAGTGCATGAGACCAACAAGGGGCCATTAGCTCAGTAGCGTGCAATTAAATGTGACTTATTAGTGCAAATATATAATGCCAGCATAACATGTCATGCAGGCAGCAGTTTTGAACTGAATGTTTCCAATAAGGTATATTGTGCTTCAATGTGGGAAACTGGGTTGAAAACAAATGCAGTACAAAATAAAGCATTAACTATCTATTATATTAACTACTATACATGTGCGGAATCAGTTCTGAACACGACTCTTTTTCTACAGATCGCCAATCACAGTGGCTACGTGCAGGTAGACTGGAAGAAAGTGGAAAAGGACGTGAACAAAGCAAAGAAACACTTGAAGAAGAAAGCAAACAAAGCAGCCCCTGAAATAAACACATTCATTGAGGAGGTAAAGGTACCTGTAACAAAGCTTGCTTTTTCTTTCACGCTTTTGCTTGTTTTAATTGACGACTAAATCAAAGTCAATGTCTTTTTGTCAACTAGAGAAAGGCACCTAGCCTCACACCTAACATACTTCTGACATGTAATTAATTAGCGCTAAATTCATGTCTTTTTCTTTTATGTCCTGGTTGTGGTGGGGTGGATTTGTTCTTTATTTGCAAAGTAGTAATGCCCTCTAGTGGGCTGTTAGCCAAACTACACTCACTAGCTGTGACACAGCAGGCTCAACAGGGATGATAGATACATCCTGATACCAGTATGGCTGTTTGGTGGTCTATCTATTCTCAGTATATAGAATCATTAAGTTAGTCAGTTGATGGGTTTTAATCTGTGGTATTTCCATTTTTAAAATTTCTTCTCATCTTGATTATTTTCCTGGCTATTTCTCCAGCATCACTCAACCAGTTAACCCCCGTTAATCCGTCTGTTCATTTTAAGATCTTATAGTCTAATGTTCTGTCTTTCCTCTCTCCTCCTATGCAGGCCACAGACTTTATAAAGAGGAACATCGTCCTGTCCAGCGGGTTTGTTGGTGGCTTCTTTCTGGGTTTGGCCTCCTAAAGCTGCTGCACACGCTGCAGTCTCCTCTTACTGTGAATCACATCGCTACATAGGTCACTTTTATCTCCATTGTTTACCTCTCGGCCCCATGTGTGCATTGATTTATCTTTTAATGAACTGAACGGGGGGATTATGTTGAACATTAAAGCATGATCTGTTGTGACAGTGGTATACTCTTGCTATAGTTTAAAATCAATCCTTGCTAATTATCTCCTTTGGGGTGGGGGGTGGTGATTGGTTAAATACACATTGTGAAGTGTGTATGAGGCGGTCAGTAGAGAATTGAGGTACTTGGATTGTACTGTGAAGACTGTCTTCTGTGGGGCCCATCAAGGCTCTTTGCCAGACTGCTAAATATGTCAAGCTGCCACAAACTAGCACAGACGCGTCTCAATCGTCCAACCCCTCATCTATTTACCCGGTGGATGCCGATCTCGTATAGTTATAAGTTGGCATGTGTGGGCGCCATTGTAAATATATAGCTAACCCCTTTTCAGAGCTGTAAATATTATATAAACAACACAGAAGGCAGCAGAGTGGGAAGTTAACACCATCCCCCAGTCTATTGCTTCGAGGTATTTTTTATGTAGCTGTGAAGTTTGGCGAGGTTTATGTGCCATTGAAGCAAACACAATGCTGTTTTTAAAGTTTATCACACTGGCTCGGGCTCTAAAGAAAGGTATTTTTCCACCCTAAGCGGGAGTTTTTCTTGATATACAACACATATCACGTGCGTTAATCACAACTAAATGTTAAATCTGTTAATATGCTCTACTTTGGACGGACAACAGAGTATGAAATACAGATTCTGTATACCCATAATCCTCAGCTCCACAATGCCCATTTAATGACAGGATGAGCATCTGCTGTACCCTAATTACCACCATCACAAGCTAGACACCAAAAGAGACACTAGTCCTGTCATTAAGGAGCATAATGGAGCAGAGACTGTGACTCCTACGCCCTCGCTACTGTCGTTGTGCATTTAGTAGTGTCAGTGTAGCAATAACATAACAGCGACGCTGCCGAGTTGTACATCATTACGTTAATTATACAGATAGGATATCCACACACGGGGGACGAGTTAAGGTGATCACAGGTTGCTTATTTTGTTTATTGCCTTTTTCTTCCAGTGCAATATACAGTGACGTTTGAGATGTAAGTTTTGTTTTGAAGAGCTTGTTATGTCTTCATCTGGCATTTTGTATGCTCATATTCCCTCATTGTTTCTATTTAATATTATTTTTATAACTTTATTTGAGCTGTATGAATTTTGTTGCGTGTCTCTTGAAATAAAGATGCCTGGTTTTGTTTCGAGTTACAATAAAATAAAGACAGGATACATTTATCTGAAGCGATTTGAGATTGTTTCTCAGGGAGAGGGTGAGGGGCTAAACGGGGTAGGAAGTCTTATGTCGCTTCTAGTTGATTGTGCCCTTAGTTAAATTTTATAAACCAGGGTCCCATTTGAAAATAATGTAATTCTCAAAGCTCAGTAAATTGTATTTCTCTCCTGTTACATGGATGGAAACGCATTGGCGTTTTGTCTCAAGGACTCAAGAAGTCTCGGGGCAGTTTGAACATGTGATGCAATAAGACGATGGATGAATAGTGGCAAAATTCCCTCTTTTTGCACTTGCTGGACTGTAACTTTGGAAAATATCCACTTCATTTGTCTAACTCGGATGTTGTAGCCTCATGTTAACTTCAGATAGTCAGGTTGTTAATAACCACACTGCGTCGTCGTTTATTGTTATTTACAGATATGAATATATACAGTATAGTATTTACAGGAAAGGGTGGAACCTAAGCACATCTGACAGCACAGCAGACAAAGTATAAAACATGGCAAACTTGGAACACAAGAACTTTTTCCTTAATACGTTATAATAATAATTACTGCTACAAGATTACCTGTATTTCATTGGTGCTGAAAATGAAAGGAAAATGTGGCCAGAATATCAATCTGTGGGGCTTTCATTAGAGGTATTACTGTGAAAAATGTATTTCCATTTCATGTTGTGAAATAAAAAAGGTTCACTTTTATTTAAAAAGAAAAGGTTTAACATAAAAAAGGGATTTTAACACAAAGCTGCTTGTCCAGTCTTTCCAGGCAGTAACTGTTGTTCAAATGAATGCTGCTATTTAAGGTCTTTATTCTTTAGATGGGCATTTTGAGGAGGGCACACTCTGTCAGCAGTGTCAGGGTGGTGATCATGTATCTGCTGTTGGAGATCTGAAAGGAAAAGTAAAAAAATATTAGTTCAGCACTTATCTTTCCTTGTGTGTGTTTAAGAAACTAAGAAAAGAAAACTTTATGGGCTGTTTCTGTCAGGTGGTACCTTGACCCTGCCGCTGTCCTTGGCTGAACCCAATGCTGTGGAGACCTGTTTCAGACTTCCTGCTGACAGATCTAGCCTGAAGTGTCTGTAGAAGTGGCTCTTCAGCCCCTGCATGAACCTCATCACCTCCTCAATATCAATACTACCTCCCTCTTCAACCTGCTCCCGTCCCTCATTCTCCTCCTGTCGATCCTTTCTCACACTGCTCCACAGCTCCCAGGCGTCTTGGGGGTTAACTGTGTAGGTGATCTGCAGTGGTGGCACAACTGGAAGAGTCCAAATCATTTTAAGGTGCTGGATGCTGGATTCAGTGTGGCAGTTAGTCCATAATGCCACCAGCCATTGTAGACTGGTATGGCTGATTTCCAGGGGCCCAAAGCAGCAGTCAAAGTTCTGCTGGAACCAGGATTTGACCAGAGCAGTGAGACCCTCTGGCCCACTGCTGCCGAAGAGCGGCAGACAGATGAAGTCTTTCGGAAGTGAGCGCAGGTAATCGGGGTTGCCGTTGATGCAGGTCAGCCAGCCGCTCCATACCGACCTCTGAGGTTCATCCTGGCCGGCAAACAAAGGCTTTGAATGAATCTGTGGTGGGAGAGGGAACAGTTAAAAACAGCAACATAAGGCATAATGAAGATCCAAAAAACTCACACACACACATTGTTTGCTTAAAACTCCACCTTTGTACCACATATCTACGTGGTGAAGACCGGCTTAGAAAAGAAAAAAAATCATTTTCGTATGGCACGAAGTGACACTATCACCCTGAAAGACTTCTCCATCTGGACAGAATCCTGTGCTTACTGCTTACCTGGATGAGGACAGTCTCAGCATCATCATCCGTCTCCGTCATTCCCTGCACCACAGAGAAGGACACTCTGAAGCTGCTGTGTGATCCCTCCACTTCCACCGCCATGCCTTGCTGCTTCTCTGCAGCAATAAACGCTGAGAGCTGCCTGGAGTAGCTCTTGAGCTGCGTGTGTCTGAACTGATACAGAGGAGTAACGTATGACAGCTTCCACTCCATTTTCAACAGTAAGGCCAGATGCTCTGGATTCACCTTCTCCTGTGGCAAGGAAAGATAGAGAAGATGACCATACTGTGTCTCTCTCTCTCTTCAGAAATGAAAATATGGCTATTTATTATGCATGTTTACTGGACAACAAAAATAGATTAAAAAAAAAAGCATGGACAACAATGGCTTGGATGGACTCACAGTGATATTATGTGACTTTGGAGCTCTTCTGCTGGTGTTGAGCCTCCGTGCTGTCAACGCTGGAGTTAAGCTGAACCGCGAAGCAGCACCCAAGCAACTGCGGTATGACTGCCGGTAGTTCTTGCTTTTGCTCCTCCTCTGAACTATAACACTGTTGAGGGGAGTCCTCGCCACACTGAAAATCACACACAAACCACAATAAGATCAATTTCTTCTGGTGATTACCGTACCAGTTCGTAATACAGGTAGTCATTACAATGTTTTTTATAGAACTTGAAGCCAAATTGTGGTGCAAACAAGTGTGTTGAAAATACCCTCCTTTTATGTCAAGTTTTGGGACCATGTTCTCTTACATGATGAAATTTCACGTTTTATAGCCATCTGTCAATCCGACGTGGAGTGAATCTTTGATACTCAGAAGATAGACTTTGGGTGAAGTATGACTTAAAGATCAGTTGGGCCCACTTGAATGGTGTTTCTTTAAAAAATAACAGCAACAACACTAAGCATTGCCAAACCAAAACTTTGCTAATAGGCTACTGCTTTCTTATGTCCCCTCACAATAACATAGCAAAGAGAAACCACTGTACGGATACACTAAGTGCAATTTTTCCATAGTTACAGATATCATAAAAGGACAAGAAACGTCAGATAAAGCTTCACTTTGTCAGTAGAATTAAACATAATACACATTGGGCGTCCGTTTTGGGTTGCGCCCTTTTGTTTTATTTTGAAGGATTTGAATAAGAGAGGAAACAAGTACATTGCTCCTTTGGTAAATAGGATATTTGCCGAATAGAAAAGCGAGAGCCAACGATTTGTAAAACGTCTTGTATATCATTTTAATAGACTGTCATATTTCAAGAAAAGCTAGGCAGAATTAAACTAGCCGATTACTAAATGTTATTTGGTGCGGCAGTCTCTTCATAGGGACAACAGCGCAACGTATCGGGGTTAGAGGAGCCGTAATACTCTGTCAATCAAACTCTGCTGTTTTTATTGTCGCGAAGGGAAAGAAAAATGTGTAGAAAATAGTACGTTTTTAGAGTGAAATAGATAGAGCTTTACCTGTTATGAGGTCGCTCCATGTCTAGCGTACCGAATGAAAACGGAAACAAATTTGAACGTCGCGCTTTCCCAGGAGTCTGCGCGGTTAGATATAGCCAATCACATCAAACCAAACAGGAAGTGGGCTTTTTATTGATTTATTTATTTTTTAACAAATATTTTTCGGAGTAAAGCAAATATAAAATGTGTAAATATACAATATTTAATAAAGAAAACGCAAAAATGACAAAGAAAGGGTGACAGAAAGAGAAATAAAACGGACAATTTGATACAATTGACAAGATTAGCAGACAGCAGATTAAATGTCTGTCTTTTCTGGACTGAACTAAACCCTTCCTTTTTTGTTTGTGTCTTCTTGAGATGTGGGCAGATGTCAACTACTTCAGAATATAGCTCATTATTTGAGAACAGTATGAGTAAATTCATAATACAGTATTATACTGTAGGTATAGGTTTGTCAGCAATATACTGTACAGCCCGGAATGACAGAAATTATTCTACAGCAAATCAAAAAGATTAAAAGGACTGAATCATTAGAACTGATGTCAACTAACTAAGGGAAGGAAGGGAGGAAAAGTTGGAGGACCTATAGATTTACATTCATAAAATGTGCAGACACTCGTGTGTGTGTGTGTGTGTGTGTGTGTGTGTGTGTGTGTGTGTGTGTGTGTGTGTGCGGCTGCATGCATGTACTTGTATCACTGACATTATAGGAACTCAGTTAGGTGTATAGTTGTTATGGTTAAATGTCAGTCTCTGGGGAATTAATGTAAGTAAATGTAATGTGTGCCCAATTTACAAAAAGAAGTGTGTGTATTTGAATCAGTTTGTGCGCCTGTTTCATGAGCTGCCAGTTTCACATGCAACCACTGGTCCCCCTCCCTGTTACCATGGAAACTGTGCTCTTTTCTTTTTTTCTCCCCATGTATGGTATCTCCCTACTTTCTTTTTATTCTTCTTTTCTTTCTCTCCATCTTATCACTTACCTATCTTACGTACTTTCCTCCAGATTTATTTCTGCCAGCCTTTCATTTGCCTTTACCCTATAGTTGTGTGAGCTCGTGTGTATGTGTGTGTGCATTTTTAGGTTTTGCAAGTACCTATGTATTGAATGGAGGGCTGTTCAATAGCACATACACTGCCATGCATAGATATGATGACCACATCAACAGCCAATCACATTATTGGTAGCTGCTGGGGGGCTTCAACCAATGGGGGAAGCTCGCAGATGATGTGTGAGCAGAAGGGATGCAGCGCCATGGAAACTGCAGAGGGTGCCATCAGAAAAGAGCGCACTCTAGTGGCACCAGATGTCTTTGTTTATCACCATCTGCATGGCTGAGTTTAACTTTCTGCTTGAGAGGATATCTATTGCTTTTTGGTACTTATGTCTCTCAGTTGAAACTTTTCTTTTTGTTAGTTATCTATTTTGTTACTTTTTTGTCTCTGCACTGGATAGAAGACCGGCTGATTTGAATATAAATGGATTAAATTTGGAGTTTGTTTTAATGTGGGATATTGAATAGGTAGGATAAAATTTAAAGGACATTATACACTGATAGATCAAACAAATTTAACATTAAAATATATATATATATACTTTATTAAATCATGAACTTAAAAATTTAATTTTATTTCATAAAATAGTCACTCCAGCAACACATTTGGGACATCAGTCTTTTTGTGTGTGTGTAAAATATATTTGACAGCGTAAGTAGTGGTAATTCCCCAAATGAACAGGTAAATGGTTATGGCTATGGCCATACTTTATGAAATTAAATTGAGTGTTAATTGTATATTAGGTGAACCGCTGAATTTGGTGGAGCACTGCGTACAGAAAATGAAGCATGTTACATACATATTACAACAAAGAGGATAAAGATGGATCAAGTTAGACCATTATTCTATTATAAAATGAAATTATTCCTGATTAGATTTTCAGCTTTGTTCTAAACATCTCAATCAGAAGTTCTTTCAGAAATGCACTGTGCTACATTAGAAGATATTCAAAAATGGAGCAGCGGGAGGTATATGATTCCTGTCATCACCTCTAGGGGGCGTGACCAACACATCTCAGTGCTTATCCCCCCACACCTGAGGAAATTCCACCTGCGTCCCTGCACCTGCCACCTGCACCACAGAAACTGCTGCACCTGCAGATAGATTACATGGAAGTAAATAAACTTAATCCAAACATTAGCGCACACCAATCGCCTCTTCCACGTTCTCCGGAGCCTTTTGCTAAAATGTTACCCGTTACCCACGAGAGAAAAATGATTTAGATTTGCTAGATAATCGTACAAATTCCAGTGGTTAGAGCTGAGCATCAAAACACACACATTTGTATCAGTATCCCATTGTCAGCGTCAAATTAATGAAATAATATAGACACTAAGCTGCCCCTCATTTTGCTGAGGAACCTCCCTAACGACCCATGGGAATTTGGGAATCACTAAAAATTGCAATCTTGCCTTTTTCTATTCTGTCTGAGAAAATGCACTTGTTTATTCGTAGGGCTGGCAGGCAGTGCATGGGAAATAAGTTATTGCTGACAGAGGAGATAATTTATATAGGAATAGACTGCATGTTAAAAGGATGGAGATAAGAAGGAGAAAGGCTGACGTAAGTGATGGGGTATGGATGGTCGACGCTTGCGCGGGATACACTGGATGCAACCGTTGGAGGAGATTAGGAAACTGCGCCTAAATCGGACCCCTATCGGGCGCCATCTTGGCTCGAGCGACTCTGATATACAAATCTGGGCCCACTCTCCGGGGCCATTTTGGCTCTAGTCGGACCAGTTTCCTGGACGATAGAGGGAGGGGCCTGGCATTTCTGGAAGTCGGGGGAACAGCCAGTCAAAGCCAGCCAGCATCTGAGCCAGCACAGGAACGGGAGCAACGGTGGACGAAGGGTGGGCTGTGTGGGAATACGATATACTTGCATTATTCACCCATACAGACGGTGTATGCAACGGAGCAGTCGTCGACATGAACGTGAAGGTCTTCATTTTGGGCTCGGGAAGCTGAAGCATATTGCAGCCTGGTCACATTACGTTTTCAGTGGGATAAGCCATCTGTGATACACTGGGTGTGCTCAGCGCAATAACGGCGCGAGCCAACCGGTTATTCCATCGACAGCTAGCTCATATTAACCCAGCTAGCCAACCATTTTCGAGAGCCCCGTTAGCTTGCGGTGAAGAGAGCATCTTGGTCGGTGCGGGAAGTGTCTGTGGATGCTACTGAGGGAGTCTTCTACCTGGCCGTATCCAGCAGCAAGATACGAAGCCGAGGCATGCAAAAAGGGGTGTTTTTTTGCAAACGAGCGAGGAAATCTCCACGCCCTGGGGTCTGGTCTATGGTTACTATTTAGCTAGCTCGCTGGCTAGCCAGCCTACCAGGAGAGTAGCTCAGGAGAAGGTGGGGCCGCGGAGTGACAGCCTTGGACGCCAGCTAATGTGGCTAGCCGGCTAACCTGGACACTTGAGTGGCCACTGGTTTTCCTGACACTGATATCGAGGGGTTTAAATTACCAGCAGCGTGCAGTCTGGTACAATAGAAACTGCATTTAGCAAGAAAATACGTTATCATTGATTCCTCCAAAACCCGTGTGGGTGGGATATCTCGAGGAGAGCATCCTCGTTTACCTGAATGACCATGGCGGACGACGACGTGCTGTTCGAGGATGTCTACGAGCTGTGCGAGGTGATCGGAAAGTAAGTAATGTCATTAATATGCAAGCTTGCGTTGTTTATTTGTTTTTGATTGTTGTGGGTGTTTCTCTAACATCCTCTCCTCGGCCACACAGCACAGCTACAGGGGCCATGCTTAAATTGTCTGGATGCTTTTCTTGTGCTTAGGCCTGCAGGATTTTCAGTGGGAAAGTTCAGTGGGTAGACGAGGTGAGGTTGCTTTTTAAAGTGCAGTGCAGTTTAACGGAACATGGGGTTCAATAGCAGACACATAATTTCGTAACATGCATGCAAAGAGTCACAGACGGTGCTCGACACCATGACTTCCATGCAGGAAAGTGAATTTGATAATAGGTTGAAAATGTGAGGTAGTATAGGTCTTGTCCCCCTACCTTGTTTAAATATACCCTTATAATCGAAGAGCTGTAAGTTTTTGCTAAATGTCAGTCACCGTTTATTATAGTTGGTCAATAAATTAATTCTCAGTTTTAGCTGACAGGCTGTCAGCCTGGGTTTGAAAGACAGGACATGTGGAAGAATCATCTGGTTGCTCATGTACAATAGTCTGCAGACAGGTTTTTCGTTCTTCCAATCCTCCTGTTTGACAGAAGCCACACCTGCATACTGTCACTGTCAGATTGGCTAGCCAGTCAAACACCCAGTGAAGGTGTCAGAGCAAGGCATAGCTCTTTAAAAAAAAATACAATGGTGAAGTGGTTATGTTGTCATGTAAATCACGAGGTCAGCGGAGACAAATTTAAACCATGCAGTGCCAAGGTTAAAGGAGCCATGGAAATTGAAAATTCCCTCAGTATGCATGTTACTTCTATGTGGTCAGACTTGCTCCTCCACTCCTCCTGGAAGTGAGGCAGGAAGGCTGACAGGCCCGTGGCAGTCCTGGGCTACCAGTCAGTCCCCTCCCCCCTACAAGCTTCACTCACTGGAGGTCTGAGGGTCCATTAAGTTTGTTGTAGGGGAAAGAGGCAAACACTCTCAGGACCCTCAGGCCCTGTTCTTTATCCTGAGACTTCCTGTTGCCTTGGTTACTAATTGACAGTTGGTCCAGGACCACTACCTTGGAGTCCCAGTAACGGATACAAGGAGCCACTGGCAAGAGTCGGTGCAGTTATTAGATAGTACGAATCACATAAGGTGGTAAATACAAGGAAAGTGGAAATATTTTCTTTGGGTCCACCGGCCATTACGAATGATAGATGAAGAAGTGTTTGCTCATTTTAATTTACTTTGCTTGATCCCACGACCGGGTCAAACAATATAAACTTTTTTGATAGTTTTATCCACCTTAGCTGACAGAAGAGGGCAGTTTTGCCATATAAGCCATGCAATTATGTCAGCTTCCACGTGTTGTTTTTTCTGCAGTTGTTAATTGCATAGCAAAACCTGTATAGGCTGCATGGAGTGCCACATTTGTTGATGTAAATATATCCAGGCCCCCACATGTTTGGTACTCCCCTGCAGTCATAAGCAAACACTGAGAAATATTGCACAAATACTTTCTTGGGTGTGCTGAGCAGTTTTGTAGGTGTGGTCACGCAGTCCAGGCAGGTCATAAGAAGAGTAATACATGACTGAATTGTAGTCTGGACTGGAGCATATCTTGTAAAGAAGAAGAAGCTCTAGTAAAGAAGTGAGGTGCCACATTTATGTCACAAAAAATCCCATAAAATCCTTCTTATCCTTCCAGTTCTTTTGTGAAAGTGCAGTTGATGGATCAAGTGTGTTGAGTTCTGGTGTCTTGGGATGTGTTGCAGGAAGGGGGGGGGGGTCATTTTTCCTCAGCTCAGAGTGGGAGGGGAAGGGAGGCTGAGGCAGATCAATGGAGACAAGTGGAGTTGGAATATGGGATGGCCCTGAGGCTAAGGATATAAATAATGCCAGCAGACATTGACTGCAGTACTCTCCCACTTTGTTTTTAACCTCATGTTTTACTGTCAGCACTACTGTAGGTACCGGACAACATGGCAGACAGCAGAAACCTGATGATGTTAATTAATAAAAAATTGATATGAAAATGATTTATAGCCACAGGAAGCCGTCGTTAAAACCCTATTGCATTGTTATCTTTTCTGGTTTTAATATATTCTTCTACATTTTAGCCGAAGTACGTTTGGTAAGATTTACACTAAATGGACTGAAAGCAAGATGACGATCGGTCCATTTATTGGGTTAAATGGATTGACAATATGATGTCAGGAAAATTCTTCCCGGGCTTTCATTGCTTTGTTTTTTCATGTGCCTCCGCCTTAAAAGAAATTTCAGGAATTTATTTTTATTTTTTGACTCTGACTCAATTGAAAAATAGTACAATTGAGAGTGAGTGAAAGTAACAAATTAATAAGTTTGTAGTAGTTAGTTTGTCCTTTACCTTGTGCCATATAAATGAGAAAAAATTGTCATGGTGATTTGTCTCACATTATTGGATAATCTTGGTGCTGTTGTATACTCGTGTCTCTCTCTGACCTTTGATCTCAGCTCCTTTTTAAACTTGTACATAAACCCTATCATCCAGCCCATCCCTCGCTCCGTCTTCTATTGTTGTAGTCGTCTATTATTGTCCCTGATCGGCTTGTGTTGGAGAGGAGCAGCCCGGCTGGGTGGGATTGAGAGCACTGGGGACACCATCGCTGTTCAGTAATCATCTCCTTTAAACCTGGATTGTAAAGGGCACCATGTTCAGGGTGATCTCTACTGAAAGACGGTTAGTAGGTACATTCGGAGAACATTTTTTGTACAACGTTTTCCCTTTGATCTTATTTTCCCTCATCGTGTCTTCTCGATTAACTTTTTCAAATGTAACCGGTCTCCGCGATAGCATAGGCCTTTGAGCTTAGACTGCGTTTACGGCACTGTGCACACAGGCAACATTTGCTCCTGTGAGCATAGCCAACGTAGGCTCTTTGTCCACCGGGATCCTCTTGTTTCAGAGCTGCCTTCTCCTTCTTCTCATTATTTTCGACTGAAAGATGTGCTTTTGCATCGCTGGCAGCACAGAGAACTTAGCGAGGTTTCAGAACTGAGAGCCAAAGCACGATAAGTCAAAAATATTTGAACTTTTAGTAAGTCGGACCCCTGATTCATCAGGGCTCATAGTTGCATGGCAACAGGAAGAACTGCATATGTCTGCTATAAAGATACATAAGGACTATGCCGTTTATGTGTCTTTATAGCTCATGCATGTAAATGTTCATTCAACTCCCCCGAGGTCATACAAGCTCTACTATTTCAATAGAGGAATATCAGACAGGTCAGGTGTCAATTCAGCTTCTGGCCGGATTAACTGCAGTGAAAGATGACACGGGCTATTGAACAGGCGTGGGCTGTGTAGACCCTGCTCATTATGTGCTCATTGTTTGTAGTTTACATTGTAAATATGTGATAATGATGTGATGTGAACATAATGTACTAACCACAGGCCTGTTTTTGAGATTTCAGCATTAGTTGAAGTGTTGGCAAAGCACTGAAGCAATTTAATCCATTTCTGTCTGTAATGATTCTGTTTGAATAGGACTTAGGTTGTTGAGCAGCACTGTTGGAGTCACAGTGCTCTTTATTTCAGCCCTGGGGTACTCATTAGAGCCAAGGATATTGGGATGTGCGACTCACTCTAAACCAATGAAGTGATAAGTCCTCTGGCTTTTTCTGGGTTGGATAATTAAATTGCTTAGGCAACATTTTAAATCTTACATTTTTATTGATTGTTTTATAGTTTTTTAGAGGTCTAATGATAGTTTCTCACCAAACAGATGCAACATTTAGCATACAAAACTGCTAAATTTTTTCCCTGAACTTTAAGCAATTAAAGTAAAATTTTAGTTGTCACTTTTTACTTTTTAGTAGCAATCGGGTTTAACTAGCAAGATGGATAAGATTTGTGAGAAGAGGAGAATATGTGGGTGTGTACATTTGTGAAGTTATTTCAAGTGAAATTTAATTTTGTAGATGTCAGTGTGAGGAGTACTATTCTGGTTTTTGTACTCAGTTATGTAATAGGTCTGCAACTAACACTACAACAACTCATTTCTACGAATCCCTCTATTATTAATGTGTCCTTCAGTAAAACATTAGGAAATAGCGTAAAGTGCCCATCATCATTTCACAGTAAACAAGATGACGTCTTCATATTGCTTTTGTTGTCCAATCTACAATTCAAAACTCAATGATGTTACATTTACAATGAACATCTTTGTCAAGTTTTACCACGTTGGCTCTTTATTGAAATGGTGTCAGAGGTGTTAATTCACCTCTGTATTGATTTGGGTATATGTTTGGATTTCAAATGATGATATCCGTCTAGTATTCTGTTCCCTCTTGTATGTAAATGTATTTGGAGAGACCGGTCAGCTGGAAATCACAGGGTTCAAGCCCTAGGCTTGGCAAGCATCCACTCAGCTGAAGTGTCCTGAAGCAAGATCGCTCAATTCCTGCTGTGATCAATAAAGTATCACATAATTGAACGTGTCATCTTCCCATCTGTTTCTCAGAGGAAAATACCGAGAGCCATTTTTGCATCGTTAAATCTTTTCAGGTCGTTCGTTTTGCATAGCGGAACATGTTAGGTTGCGCCTCTGTGTAACGCATTGGTTAGAGTGTTTTTTTTTTTGTTGTTGTTGCTTTTTTAAACTTTGCTAACCTGTACAATACAGTAATCTTAAATGTTTTCTCAGAGAACCCTCCTCTCCGTGTGCAGTTCTGCTTTGTTTATCTGCCCACGCGCAGAAAATCAATAGTTGTGAATGAATAGTGTAAAGTTGAAACTTTTGTTCAGACTACCAAGCCAGACTCTACAGGGTGGTTTAAACAAACCCGGATTGTCTTCTGACTTATGTATAGGAAAGGATTTTCTGCCAAAGCTTTACAACCTCCTGAGGGTATCTCTGCTCTAAATTTCAGTTTGCAACCCGAATGCTAATTTCCCCACTAATATTCAAAGGGTTGTTTCCCCAATTTGCATAAGGAAGTGCTCTGGATTATTGTTGCGAAGACGTTCACAGACTCTGGTTGAACAGCAGTGAACTTTATTGAACTTGTTAAATTAACAGCTTTGAACTTGAGCTCAGTCTTGGCAGTAGGGCAAACAAAACAGTACTTATCCTGGAATTAGTCTGCTAGAATCACTTTCATGGACTTAATTTTTTTCTTCCTCTCAGAGCCTGTACTTCTGTAAAAATGTATTTATAGACAATTGTCAGCCTTGCACATCCACCATCACATAGTCAGATATTTTTTAAAGCTCTGAAGTCTTTAAAAACTTAAAGTTTATTTACACACCCGACAATCAATTTGATTCCATCTTTGTGGCCTGCTAATTATTATTTTATTATATTGTCGTTATATTATATTTGAGCATTCACAATTGAATCCATTATGTTGTTAATCATAAATGGTGTTATGTCATCGTAGCGAGGTTTGCTAAATGCAGTGGTTTCTGCAGAAAGCAGCTGAAGGATTGTTAGCGGTACAGGCTTGTCACTGAATATCACTGATGATAATGCGACTGGTGACAAGAACAGATAAGATGCAATTTACCTTGCTCAGAAATAGAGATCAGGATCGACCAGCACCAATAGTTTGCCAACCTTATGTACTCATACAAATAATTTTTCTGTATCTCACAGCTGCACAAACACTCTCCCCCAAATTTGTGGGACAGACTGAGTGAATTGCGCTAGCTGCTGGCCACAGCTAAAGAGCAAAATGCTGCTTTAAGCAAAGATGGTCGCTCTCAGGAGAGAAGTACCGGTGATGTCGAGTCTGCAGCTACAGATGTGTCCTGTCCCTGTTTAGGAGAGAAATAAAAAAGTGAGACCTGGGAGGAAATTTGATTCACGACCAGCGTGGATGTTAAAAATCTGACCTAACATCCAGTCTTTGATTTACATGGAGCAGAGAGCTGAAATGAGCCAAGGAGCACTCTGCAAAGATTGCCACTTCGGGCTAATGTTTGATGACTGCCGCTGTCGGATGTGAGCCATGTGTGGGCGTTTTGTATGAGCCCACTCAGCACAGCTGTGATGATGTCAGTACGGCATGCGGCCTCTCTGGTTCCTCACTTTCAGGCGCGCACACACACACACACACACACACAGACTCACATATACTCACACTCTTTTCTCTCCTCTCTCTCTCTCTTTCTCTCTTTCTTTTACACCTACTTGCTTGCTTTTAATGCCTCTATAATAGCTACTGTACATGGCTGAATGGCCTTTTAATGTTTTTTTTTATTTCAGATGATGAAATGAATTGCATTCTAATTTATTCAATTAAATAGCGGCCCCAGCCCCCTTTCACTTATAACACGCCACTATTGTAGAAATGGCCCCATTCGTGAATTGATTCTCCATGCAGCTCCCTTGAATAGACAGCCAAGATTACAAATGGGGTTGATGCGTAAAATCGTGCAGGTTCACCCGACCCCACCTCGTTGCTTAATGGCGGTAATGGGTTTTATTGACACACATTAGATCAGCGCCAAGACGGCCTTACCCTCCTCTGCATCATTTGTATCCATGCGGTTGCAGCGTCTGACTTAGCTCCCCCAAACCTTCACCAGTCAAACACAGATCCGAAAAGATTGTCAGGTTGAAACGGGGTTGTCAGAAGCTCCACCATTCTCCGAGCCCCTCTTTCTAATGGGAAACACAGCTGCTACAGCACATCAACCCAGCAGGGCAAAGGTCAGTGGGGTTGTCAGATCATCAGCAGGATTCCTGTGGACTCTGAAGAGAAGAGTGTTGTGTTTTACGGTTCTCTCGGCCCAGAGCGCGCACATGCCGCCTGCTTTCGCTCGTATGGGTTAATCATTACAGCAGATGTGAGAGTGAATCAGCTGCAGCTTCAACATACATAGACGTTTGAACTGCATAGCTTTTACTGTCGAGTTTAACCAATACCTGTTAATGGCCACCGCTTTGCTCTTGCAAACTGGGTTTTATTGTGTGCGTGTCTGTGTGTGTGTGTTGTCTGTTTGTATAGTGTGTGTCTGTGTCTTCAGTAGCATTGGTTCCCCCTCTGAGAATTTTAGACTTGGGAGATGTTGAGACAGCTGTAACACGGCAGGGGTGTGTGCGCCTGTAACTCTCAGTGGGCCTGGAGACAGAAAATGTGCAAATGTTTGTTAATTTAATGGTCGGTGCTTTGACATAATGAGGAAGAATTACTACGTTCATCTTTGATACAAAGGAAACGCAAGGTGTTATAGTTACTACATGGAACTGACTTGTGTGTTAATGTGAGGACTCTCCACAGCGGTTTGGGTATGTGTGAATACTCATAGAAGGCCTGTTGCATACAAGAAACCAGTGTGTCAGTGTATCATTTCCTAAACAGTGTTATAATGATTTGTCTGTTTGTTTAACCAACAGAAAGTGTTTTTTTTTTTTTTTTTGAAGTGTTTTAAGAATTAAAACAGAATTTAAGAAAGTTTCTAAGAATCGTTGCATTAAATGAAGTGTTTCAATCGAAGATTTCCTGTACTACAGAGTTAATTTTCTTTGAACACAAATTGTACTAGACATCTCAAATCTGCCCCACAGACCTTGAACAAAGTCATTGCTGGACCGCTCCGTTCATATTTAATACAAGATCTTGAGAATTACGGATGGACACAGGACAGGATGTCATGCTTTATAGCTTCCATATGTTAGCCCCAATGCAGTTATATAAGGAAACACAACCTTGCGATATCTGCCACCTCCTTTGCCCAGAAATAAACCTCGTAGAGTAGGTTTCCCTAGCTCAGGTCTGTATAATAAAGCTTTTATTTTAGCTTTTACAGCTGTGCTGCACACCACTGCTATATAATTCCCACTGGCATGAGCAGGGAGGCCACGACGCGTAGCTAACCACCCACTGTAAATCCACAGTGTTCTCAGAAACAGTGCTGTGTCTGCCCATTGCACTAGGCTGGTGTGTGTGTGTGGTTGTGTGCATGTGATTATGTGTACATGTGTTTTTGGTAAGTGCTAACTGTTCTTGTGTTTGAAACTGAGATTTCTGTTGTTACATTGTTGTAGGTGTCTGTGACTAACTCGGCGTGTGTGTGTGTTGCAGGGGTCCCTTTAGCGTGGTGAGGCGCTGCATCAACAGGGACACGGGCCAGCAGTTTGCCGTAAAGATCGTCGATGTGGCCAGCTTCACCTCCAGCCCCGGCCTCAGCACAGAAGGTGAGGAACGCAGCAGACCTGCTTTGAACAGATGGGAGGTTTTAACAGAATCAGGACAAGAGAGGATAGTTGTCAGGGATCTTATCAGTCACAGAGAATTACACTTTTAGACAGACATACTTACATCTCGCAAGTTTTAACTAACGTGTGAACGGCTTTCTGTAATGTAGTGCAAACTACACCCACCTGGCTCTCCTTGTGGGTTAAAACAAATGTTGGGAATAGTCTGAAAATACAGTTTGGCTCACACATCAAGGCACACAAAGAGTGTATAATGTCCTTCTCACACACAAATAAATGAGGCAAATGTCGCACGCGTTGCGACTAGATGAATAATATGTTGGAACTGCACGTGTTTATCTGCGTGTGGATCGCGGCGCGTGTGTGTGGGATATCGACGGATGCCATGTCTCACCATGCGGTTTGATGCTTTGTCAAGCTGAGGTCTGTGCGTGTGTGTGTCTAAGAGAGCAAGCGAGAGAGATAGAGACAAAGATCATAGGTAGGTAGGGGTGTGTGTGTGTGCGTGTGCGCGTGTGTGTGTAATGTTGGCGTTCACCATGTGCCATCTGCGAGGTCTCAGTCAGAGATTAGTCTGGCAGCCAATAACAGCAAGACAAGGAAATGACCCATGGGAGGAGAAACTGAAAAGGGGAGCTTTTCACCTGTGTTTCCCAAACCGAAAGTCTGCGCTCTAAATAATTTTGGTAAATATGTTATCATGATCCAGAATCTAAATTTAATCATCAAAAATATAAACCACCCACATTGAGGGTTTTTTTTTTTCCACTTTGGAAATTTCTAGCATGCTTCACCCTGTGGTCACCGGTCAGTCGGAACAAGCGCAGTAACATTTATCTTGCGTGTGGTGTATGTGATGACAGGAATGTATAGAAGGATTTAGAAGTACTTGTGATTGTTATGGAAACATTCCCTTCATGGAAATTAGAAATTTAAATTTAAAGCATTCAAGATGTGTTTGTGTAGAGTATTTGACCTAACCTTTTATATTATATGATAACAATTCATTAAATCAAGATTTTAAAACAGGTTCAAAGTATGTAAATCGTTTAAGCCTGTGTGGGATACAAGCTGCGGGCTACATAACTTGAATATTTTCTTTATTTCAGTGCGCAATGAGTACAGCAAGTGTTATTTATGTTTTAGAGTGATCGTTTTCATTCCCTTTGATTAAAGCACAAGTGAACGCACAAGAATATGCACTTGATGTTTAGTCAAATAAGGCCTGTTTTTCTGACATTTTAAAAAAAATCACAAAAGAAGAAATAAGCAAATGGCCACTCAAAGTGACAAGGTAGAGAACTGGAGCGCAGCCAGGTTCGGAGAGCGGTTTCCTGAGAAGGCATACTTTAGCTTATTAAGAAAGAATCTGCGTCAGCATAAATGCGAGCGGGAACGAAAGGGAGACAGAACAGCGGGCTGGGCCGAGCTACAAGCTGAATATCAAACATCCACATTCATGTGTGAATATATTTGTGTGTGAGCGTGTCGGGGAGTTAGATGAACAAAAGGTTAATAGCATCATTAAGAGGCCGGTAGTATTAGGAGTTAAAGCAGAACGAGTAAGTGTCTGGATTTGTTGGATTTAATAAGGATGAATGTAGAGTGAAGGAGCTAGCGCTGGGATCAACATTAAAGCTTTATGGGTAATGAATTTCAGGTTGCAGTATTATTAGTTAGATATATATCAATGGTGATATTGGAAATATGATTCATCAGTACGTCAGACAAAGTATATGAGCAAGCATTTTTGAGTTTCGGTGTGATTTCAGTAAGGTGGTTTTATCCTAGGTTCTGGATATCACGAGATGCATGCGGCGAGATCCTTTCTCCCAGCTTCTCCCAGTAAAAACTTCAGAGTGGAATTATTTAACATTGCTTCACAAAGCGTAATCTAGCCCAGACCTTCCGTGCAAGAATTCATTTGGAATCGGCCCAGTGAATGGCACTGGTTTCATTCAAAGCGTTCCAGGCCTCTCTGGCTCCCTCCCTCTGTTTGAGTGGTTTCGTTGTTGCCGTGCGGACACTGGGCGGCATTGTTAAGTTCAAGAATAGATACTCGACGAGACGAGCGTAAAGAGGAGAGGAGAGAAATCATGAAAGCAAAGGAACAGGAGAATGGAGGCTCTGTAGTGGGGACACGGCGTCATTTCTCAGTGTTGCATAATGATACCGGCCTGTCACGACACAATGAGCGCACACACACACACACACACACACAAAGATCAGTAGACTTGCAGATGAGGAGTGGTCTGTGTAAATGAGGTTTTTATAGAGTGAGGAGCTCAACAACAGCCTGCCTCAGCGGTCTTAGCACACGTCTCACCACTTCTGTCATTCTATTCAATACCGTGTGTTTCCTTTTCTTTAAAAGGAGGACAGTCCCACTCCCTTAAGCTGTGTTTTCCCTCCAGTGTCGTTGTCGTTATTGAGGAATGCCACAGAATCATGTTGTAATTGTATTTGCAGTGCAATCTAGATGCAGGGATAATGAGAGGGGATGATGTTGATGAGTGCGGGCCAGATGTGGATTTAAATGTGCAATAATGATGGTATTGTAGCAGTGCTACATCTGGTGTGAGTTGTCTTTCTGTTGTATACCAGCTCGTGAGCTGTCTGCCCAACATGTGAAAACTCACCTTTCTTTGCTCAGTAAGAATGGCATCCCCCAGTTTGTAAATGAAACGCTCTGTAGCTCCCTCTGGTGGCGTAGTTCAGATGTGGCACATATGTCGAGGTTTGAAAGGAGGAGGGCTGCACGCTGGGCTTGTCCTCTTTGCTTTTCATCTCCTTAAATCCCCACCTAGAGATGTGGAACGAGCCTCTCGGCAGAACAGATTTTTTTTTTCTTTCTCAAATGAACACCAGGGAGCTTTCTCACCCAAAGGTCATCTGATTTTTGGTTTACATTTGTTTACTGCGTCCTCATTAAAGTACTTTCCACCTTTCAATAAGAATAAAAATAATGATTGGGGAAATCTGTTTCTCATTGTAGACATTTAGTAGCATGTGTATATAAAATGAAGTATACTCTTACAAGGAGACTGAGAGCAAAGCACTGGATTTACTGACACTACACAAGGAAAGAAGTACTTATTATCAGATTGAATACTAATTGTCGGACGTGAACAGTATCTCACTAAACCCCCTTTCTAATTTCTGTCTGCCAGATCTGAAAAGAGAGGCCAGTATCTGCCACATGCTGAAACACCCTCACATCGTGGAGCTGCTGGAGACCTACAGCTCCGATGGCATGCTCTACATGGTCTTTGAATTGTAAGTCTACGTGCACTCTGTAATCAGACGTCAGATGTGTTTTTGATGTGTAAGTTTAGGGTTTGATTTTGTGTCTTTTATGTGTACTTGTAACCGGGGCGGGAAACACCCGCACAGCTGATCAGTCCCGCATACCAAATACTGTTTCTCATCAGCCGCTAAATAGTTTAGATAGAGTAGAAAACGATGCATAGCTGGTAAGCTAAATTTAAATTTACCAGCAGTTGCCAGATGGCTACTGCGTGTATATTCACACCCTATCGTCGAACAGCCCCCTCACATTTGTGGTTACAGACTTATTTCCTTGATGGAAACAAAATCAGTGTTTGAGCTCTTTTTTAAAGTTCAGATGATACACACTACCATATAATGTAATTTTTGATGTACTGTGCTATATATCTGAAGATATATCTAGGCCAAGACAAAATATCAAGCATTAATGTTATATTTTCATGTGTTTTGGAATAAATAAAGGTGTGAGGCCTTTTTGAATGTAAATTCCCGGCCCGGAATAACAGGCCCGTGTGTCATTTTTAGGTAGATTTTACAGTAAAGACAAAGCATCTGTGTTCAATATAAAATCCACAGGTGACATCGGGCACGCGGGGAACGGCTCTCTCTACTTCTCCCCCGGCATCTGTCGTAAATCTAATTTTCTTAATCAACTCACCTGGTTAATTTGTTTCCTCTGTGTGGATTTTATTTAGTAAATCTGTATCCCATAGCTTCCTCAGAGCCTCCCTGGGGATTGTACTGGCTGAAAAGTGCTAAAGCGAAAGTTTAGTGCTTACGCGTTCGCACCAGTGAAGTGAAAATTGCTCCCTGGTGGACAGAGTTTTGCACTTTGTTTTAAACTCTATTTTGAGACACGCTAGTTTATGCGGTCTTGTGTAAACTGTTATCTGTAATTGGTAGAAATCTGATTTTTGTCTCGTCCCTACCCCGATCTCTTCTTTCTCTTTCTTTCCCGCTCAGTATGGACGGAGCAGACCTGTGTTTTGAAATTGTCAAGAGAGCCGACGCCGGGTTTGTGTACAGCGAAGCAGTGGCCAGGTAGGACACACGGTCTGGGAGCTGTGGGTAGAACATTTAAAATATGAATACAGCTTGAAATAAACAACAATTTGTCGATGTCTGTCTTTGCTTTCTGTTCACGCAGCCACTATATGAGGCAGATTTTGGAGGCACTTCGATACTGCCACGACAACAATGTGATTCATCGCGACGTAAAGGTGAGGTTTCTCCCACGAGTCCCAGACTGAGCCTCTGAAACCAGCAGACTGAAAGCTTTTCATAACAAGCGTAATAAATATGCTCCGTACCACAGACAACCACCTTCTCAGACCAGAAGATGATTATCTTCTAAAGGTCGAGCGCATTTTACTGTTTACCAGAAAACACACTCGGCGACATCCGTTCTTCACATTAATTTCCAGTTATTATATGGCTTTTAGAATAAACTTGCGGTTCAGTCTAACCACACGGAAGCCCTTTTGGCCTGCACACCAGCGCCTTAGCAAAACCCGAATCGTCAATATAGTTTGTATGGCATGACAAACAACCAGTGTGGATTTGTTTGGAGTTCTTGTGGTCAGATTAGCATTAACGGCTGATTCCAGCAGGATTAGCCATTCAACACGGGCATCAAAAACTACCAGACCAGCTGGAGCGGTCCTGAAACAGCCCCTCGATCCACACACCAGCCATTTGTCCACAAAGCGATCGAGGCCGCCTTGTGTCCGCGGGTGCTGGCGGGTCAAACCCGGTTGAAACGGGAGGTGCTCATTACTGCTGGTGTTTGCTTTAACACCCGCCTCGGAGTGCCAGATGGGTGCTTTTTTTAACACAAGAGGAAGGAAGTTTTCAGTCCAGTTACATTGACAGATGCACTGTCAATGTAACTGACTAAACCTGTCACTCATTTCTTTGTCCCGTGTATGTGGTGTATCAGCAGATTGTCACTCTCTCTGAGCGTTAGGAAGGAAACACCCCCTTGTTAGGTCTATTCATCTCTTTACTTTCATATAGACAGGATTATATTAACATTACAAATAGATTTAGAAATGGAACAAAAACATCCAAAATGTGTTTGTTTTAACATAATTTAGATACACTCAATCCATTGTCACAAATTTACCCATTTATATTTTCAGAAACATTATAGCATAACAGCATTCTCTAGAAAATAAACATGGCATGTATTTATTTTTAGAAAAGCTGCTGTCTTTGCAGTCACTGTAGTGCCTCTTTCTTTCTTTCTTTCTTTCTTTTTCTTCTTTCACTCAGACATTAAAGTAGAATTTAAACAATGATTTAATGTCTAAACAATGAGTAACTGCAGTAAAAAACAACAAACAAACATACATACATTTGTCGAACATAAGAAGTCATTACGTGTAGAAACGCTTTACTCATTGTTACAGAGAATTGCCCGATCAGTCCGGCATATGTTAGAAACGAAAGGTATTTATTTCTCCAGCGTTCACACTTTCATCACTGTCGGTCGGTAGGGGGAAACACCGTCACTCCCGTGCGGCGAAGGGTGGAGTTGATGACACAGATACTGTTTCTCGGGGTACCCGAGGGAGTGTTGAGTTGAGAATTTAAAGCCACAGGCACAGACGTCCGTCTGAACTCTGTCGTCGAGCTGTTGGACGTCGCCCAATTGCCGAGTCGGTCTCCGAGTACTCGGAGGGCGGTTTTGCGCACCGAGCCGGATAACAGGAAGTACATGACGGGATCCAAACAGCTGTTGAAGGCGGAGAATAACAACATGACCTCATTGGTGCGGTCCACCAGGTGCAAGTAGTCGCACGATGCCGTTCCGCTGAGCTGGGAGAGGATGTAGACGGGGCGAAAGGCGTGGTAGGGCCCGAAACAAAGGGTAAACAGAAAGAGCACAAAGAAGGATTTCTTGGCGGTCCGTTGGTATTTGTGCGAGTTGGGCAGGTCCGGCTTGTCCCGTGACACCCTCAGCAACTGGGAGGCGATCTTCGCGTAGGAGACCACGAGCATGACGAAGACGAGCCAGAACAACAGCACCAAGATCGCGTTGAAGTAGGCTTTCCCTTTGGCTACGCGTCGCTGCTTGTACTGGAAGCACTGGCCGCTGTTCTCTTTGTCCTCGGCCGTGGCGATCATGGGCACCACCGCCATCAGCGACAGACCCCACAGAGCCGCGCACGCCACCCAGCTCCACGGACAGTTGTGCCCCCGCAGCCTCATCATCACGCCTCTCCGCGCTCTACCTTTTCCTTTGAGCCTCAAGTATCTGTCCAGGCTGATGAGGCCCAGTAACAGGATACTGATGTACATGTTCATGTAAAATAGATTCCCCACCAGCTTGCAGGCCAAAGATCCCAGTACCCACTTGTTTCCATTAATGTGGTAGAGGACCCTGAAGGGCAGACACGCCAGCAGGACCAGATCAGCCACGGCGCAGTTGATGAGGAATACTCTTACAGAATTGCGGCTGGAGTGTAAGAAAAGGAAGACCCACAGCGCAAAGAGGTTACCCACGAGCCCGACGACAAAGAAGAGGGAGTAGGAGACCATCAGCGGCAGACGGAGGGTCGTGTCGTCAAACGAACAAATATTCTGGTTTGGGGAGACCGCCGACGAGGCGGAGAAAGGAGAGGAGGAAAAGGCAAGAGAGGAGTTGGACGACGCAGAGGCCGAAGGAGTGAAGGGGAAAGAAGAGGCGGTCATCGTGTCTGAGGAGTGGGATCTTGAGGGTTGTCAATCAGGCTCTGAAAAAGAAAGGGAAAAGCTCATTTCAGTTTATTGTCACTGAATAAAACCAATGGAAAAAGCAGAAAAAAAGAATAGTGTGCATCACTGTCTAACTGCAGTGATGTGTATGACAGGTGAATATGTGGGTTGTAGTTTATAAAGAAATTATTTTATGCAATAACAGGAGGTGTAGAAGCAGCGTATCGAACACTCTGGAAAAGTGTTTGTTTTCTATTGTCGCTGGATTTAGTTTTTTACTCGTGGGAACCCGAGTCGTGACTAATGGAAAGTTTCATGCCTATTTAACACACGAATTCCAGTTCCACCGAATTACGACGACACTCGGAACCACTCACCGTCTGACTGCTACAAACAGATGTTTGGATTAAAGCAGAACGCTCACCATTAATGTTCCTTCCGCAGGAGGGTCAGCACAGCTGTAGTTTAAACGCGTGCGAATGATGTGTGACCGCAGTAGTCCGCTGTGTGTTTTCCTCCATCAAACTTGCGACCTGTTAAGTAAAACTATAGTTACATACATAATAAAATATAACAAAACCGCAGTGCATGTCCTTTACATTTTCCTTTTGCCATCTTCATCTTTCTCTTTGACCTCTGAATCAGTCATAAATCTTGCAGACTCTTTTTGCATATCCTTTTGACAGCATCCACTCCTCCCCGTCCTCCTCTGCTCTCTGTTCTCAGCTCGCAATCAGTCTTTGTCTTACCGGTCTCGTCCTCTCTCTCTCTCTCTCTCTCGGTCGGTCGAGAAGCTGCACTCTCTCCGATCCTTCTCTCCCTCTCACAGATATGAAAGTTTAGTCCGCCAGTCCTCTCTGCCTCTTGTTCTCTCTCTCTCTCTCTCTCTCTCTCACTGCGCCTCTCTGATCTCGAATCGTCTCAGTCAACATCCTCCACGCCCCTCTGTTCCCCTATAACGAGAAGTGTGAAAAATGTGAAGGCAGGAAGTGAGACCACCGCCACAACCATCATCTGCCATGCAGCTCTCCCCCTAAAATTATTTAAATCTATGCTTACACGCTTACCGGTGCCAGATCATAAAAACAAACAGTCATAATTGAGATGGAGAAAAAACTTTAATAGTAGTTTAATAATAATATTGATGAAGTCTTAGACTGCCAGTGAGTGCGTTTGGTCGAATACCCTTGTGTTTTACAAAGCACTTGTCGTTGGCGTCGTCTTGTAAAATACAGCAGCATTACTTCTATGCAAATGGAGATTAAGTGTGAAAACTATGTTGCAAAAATACTCTCATGTATTGACTGCTTAAAAACTGTCACTTCTCTTTCTCTTTCTTTCTTTCTCTCTCTCTCTCTCTCCTCTCTCTCTCTCTCTCTCTCTTCTTGTATGTCACTGTCAGTAATTCTCTACTGTGTGGTTAGTTTTTCTCCGCCCTGTCCTCTTCTAAGTTATACACAAGTTACTTTTACAGCATGGCCATTAATGCAGTTCTCTTCAATGTAGTAAAATGCATATCAAACCTCGCTCTACAGCACACGAGTGTGTGTGTGTGTGTGTGAGAGAGACGTGTCAATCTAATGCTTATTATCCAAGATGCACCGGCTAAATCCTGGGGCAAGAGCATCATAATAAAATTCGCAGTTATAGTTGTTCGAGTCGTCTTGTCATTGTGAAACCGCGGTTTACTAACCAGCGTCAGAACATATGGGATCCTGCACTTTTGCACAGAAAGAGAAAAGCAAAGCACTGCACAGGCTGCAAAAAAAGTTTTTTTTTTTTTTTTTTTTTTTTTTTTTTCCCCCCCCCTCTGCGTCAGTGAAACGAATAAGACTGTTAAAAAATTTACTGTTGAACTTCTCTCCTTTATTCCTCCGCAGCCTCACTGTGTGCTGCTGGCCTCAAAGGAGAACTCTGCTCCGGTCAAGCTGGGAGGTTTTGGAGTGGCGATACAGCTGGGAGAGTCTGGCTTAGTAGCTGGAGGTACAGTAGACACTTTGACCTCGACAAACTGAGAAAACACGGCTTCCCTGCCTTAATTAGACAATTAGTCAGATCAGATGAACTGGAAAATGTAAATTGTGGCTAGGTCAGGATGTCGACGGAGGCCTGCTCCAGACGGACGGATGGCAAATGATTTAAATAATTAACCTATGAAGTTATGAAGTAACATAAACTAACATTTAAACCATCGTTGGTCTCAGCCATTCACATATTCCTACCCCAAATATCGTTATAAATCGTCCCTCTGCCCGCTCTTTTCAGGTCGAGTCGGTACTCCCCACTTCATGGCCCCGGAGGTGGTGAAGCGGGAGCCGTACGGCAAACCGGTGGACGTGTGGGGATGCGGAGTCATCCTCTTCATCCTCCTGTCCGGCTGCTTGCCTTTCTACGGCACCAAGGAGCGCTTGTTTGAGGCCATCATTAAAGGGAAATACAAGGTAAGAACACGGCGGACAAAGCGGCCTCGTCGTCAGCCGACAGCTCGGCGCGCTAATGTGCGGCAGATGCAGTCGCTGAGGGCAGCTAGACGGATAACACTGCGGCGTCATCCGTCAAGCTGCTGCTAAATAAACAGAGCTTATTTTTTAGAATCAAATCTGGAAGTAATATGCTCTACCGTCACCGCAACTGCGTTTTACAAGAACATTACAGACTGTGACGAGTGTCTGTCTGCCCACATTCAACCGTGCACGCGTGTGCGCTTTTCCAGATGAACCCGCGTCAGTGGGCCCACATCTCAGAGAGCGCCAAAGACCTGGTGAGACGCATGCTGATGCTGGACCCCGCTGAGAGAATCACTGTCTACGAGGCCCTCAACCACCCCTGGCTGAAGGCGAGCTCACACAAACACACACCACCACAACCAGTAATAAATTAAGAACTGCTGAACTTGTGCTTGTGACAAGCTATATTTCAAAACCCGGAAAATAAGTGGGATATAGGGGTTTTGAATGAAATAAGCTTTGGCAAGTAATTGTCACCTTTCAAACCACTGGCCTTTAGTGCTGCTGACTCAAGACCACTTCCTTCTGCTAGAAGCTACACCTCTGCTTTCACATCCGTTCTGTGACTGCTCTAATGTGTATGTGCAGCTCGCTTCACATCCTCACCATTTCCTACTTGCGCTAATGTGACTGCTTTTTTGTTTTTGGTGGGTGTAGGAGAGGGACAGGTATGCCTACAAGATCCACCTGCCTGAAACGGTGGAACAGCTGAGGAAGTTCAACGCCAGGAGGAAGCTGAAGGTTAGCGCGGTGTCGAAGTTCAACCATAAAATCTCCAGGTTCAGCTGGATAAAAATCAGAGATGGGAGGAAGTGTGGCCTCCCCCGCACTGCGCAGCCGGTTCTAATCACTGACCCAGATCATTTGTTATGTCATGTTTTCCCAATGATTGTCATCAGACCTCTAGAGGCCTCGCATACAAATATGTACAACTGTGTAACGGCTGTATTATCCCTACTCTGTATCCCAGGGTGCAGTGCTGGCCGCCGTTTCCAGCCACAAGTTTAATTCCTACTATGGCGACCCCCCAGAGGAGCTTCACGACTTCTCAGACGACCCCACCTCCTCAGGTAAACGGCTCAGCGAAAGAGGACGATAAAATAACGTTGTCTACGTTACGGCGGTATTGCAGTTATGTAGTAGTTAATTGTGCAAACTGATGTGTGTGTGTGTGTGTGTGTGTGTGTGTGTCAAGATTTAGCTCTCCCTCCATATGTGAACTATCCACCCATGTGTCATTAGAGGTCAGAGATGAAACACATTGATAGAGGACACAAAAGGGACATTCACTTTCTAGCCAGGTTTCTATTCTGGTGTCTTAATGTGATCTCCAGCTGTCTGCGTGGAACTTCCTCTGTTTCAACAAAGACAGATGTTACCCAACAGCCTCACTTCCCTGTCTCAAACACAGACTTTCACTTCCTTTGATAAGAAGAGCGGCGGCGGGTATGCATAGAACACCGGTGCGCTCGTCTTAAACGGTAGAAAACGAGCACCGAGTTGCGCGGTCGCTTAGCGAACGGGCGCAACGAGACGAGCTTTGCGCATTTGCGGCTCGGTTTTGTAGCGGCCGCTGCAGCCAAATATACTGGTGTGTATTTTGTTTCCGCTGAGGCTGGCAGTCTGTGGCGGACGTGCTTCCTGATGACCGGTTTCTTTTCGCAGCCGGGCACAGGACCGACTAGACCGCCTCTGGCGATTTTCTCGCTCTGTTGCTGCTCTTTCCCCTTTTCCTTTTACTCCCTCCCAGCCCTCTCTGACTCTGTATCCTCTCCCTTCTTTCTTTGGTTTTCTCTCATTATGAGCTGTTAAAAACTCTGTACATCCTCTAATCTCAGCTTCTTTCTTCGGTGTTGTTTTTCTTCCGCCCCGCCATCTAGGACTGCTAGCTGCCGAAAGTACGTATCACCCTTCCCACTCGCAGAATCTTGATGTGTGATATCATCATCATCATCATCATCATCATCATGACATGCTCACCTGCTTTTAGCTGCTTTTTCTTTTTCTTAGTGATGGATGATGTGGCTCCTCCTCCTCCTCTGCTTCCTCTGTCTCCTTCTGTCTTCTCTCCTGTCTCCCTTTTGAGAAAACCCATTCGGTTTGATGAATGTGCTTTTATTCCATATGCTTCCCGTTGACCTGTAAAGATGACACTCTGTTCACGTACATCTCGGTTATTCCGGTCGCTGAACAAAGGAAAAAGAAAATTGGGATTGTTTTGTCACGACTTGAATGAAACCAAAAAACAAAGGTTACTAGGATAAGTTGCTCATACGCCTCCGTGTTGACTAACGGCGGGACTATCTATCATATTGTATAGCGCTTAAAAAGCTGCATCTTAAATAGGGATATCGACGACGAATTGCCGATCGAACAGCGGAGACCCGAGTCTGTCGTCAGCAGTGTAGTTGGGGGTTAGTCTCCCAAATACTGCGGGAGCAGTCATTGTTAAGAGACAATGTTATTTCATGTAATCAATTTCCTCGAGGAATAGCGTTCGGTATTTGTATCCGGTTAGCTTTCGGCGATCAACCGGTTATCGATCCATACATGGCCGACAGTCGATTGAGAAAAACAATCGGTAACCCTAATCGGGATGTACGTTAACAGACGTATAACGAGGTTTTCCCAAAGGGAATAACGGCTTAAATAGCTCGTTCTCCTCACAGTAACAGTTGAATAAAAGTCTAATTTGTTTTTTGGTCAAAACCCATTACGAGCACATGATTATTCTCGCCATATCCATCTTTCATCTGTCATTCCAGGACTTGAGCCTAGAAATTCTTGACTTTCTATTCCAGACCAGCGCAGGATTGAGAAATTTCAAGGGCGGAGTAAATCCTCGTCCCTACTATTTCTGAAATCATTTGTTAGAGATAGAGGTTTGTTTGGCTGCCTGCGGAGGCTTGCGGAGACAACCGAAGACCGTGGTGTAATATCACCACCTGCTGCTAATAAATTGTGTGGCAACTTAAAGATCAGCCCGTGGGTTCAAAAGAATCACAGATTCATCTCTAAATAACCTTAAGAGCAGTCGGAGAGAGAGGAAAATGTTTTCTCACCGCAGCTCCCTCACTTCTTCTCAGGGTATTGATGACCATGGAGCTTTATTACTACGTAGGCTACAAATACTCGTGAAGTTTATATATCAGATTAGAATTTTCTTTCTTCACTTATCACACTGTATATTTTTGCACTTTTACATTTGATTATATTTCTATTTAGCATTTTTTCTCAGGCCTACTGCCCCTAACCCATCCTTCACACTGTGACTTTCTCAAATGACTTTCTTCTGATGTTGTATTGACGCCATGTACCGCTGTTTCTCTGGTTTTGCTGCATGTGTGGGCGATGCAGCAGGTACTTGGGGTTCAATAGTTGTGAATGTTTGTGCGTGTTTTCTGTTGTGCCGTCGATCGTTTGTGATTATTTTGGTGTTGTTTTTGGTCTTTTGTTGTTGTTTCCCTGTATGTGGATGCGCAACGGGTGGAGTGTCTGCAGATACACGTGTCTGTCTTGTTCAGTGTTTGCATTTCGTGTTGTGTTGTGTTGTATGTTTGCAGGGATTGCTTGGCGTACTTGTGAATGCTTCTGTGTGCTTGCGATTCAGTCTACATTTATTTGAGTGTATAACTTTGGTGTGCGCGTGTAGGGGCAGTATCGCAGGTTTTGGACAGTCTAGAGGAGATTCACGCGCTGACGGACTGCAGTGAGAAAGACATGGACTTCCTGCACAGCGTCTTCCAGGATCAGCACCTCCACACCTTGCTAGACGTGAGTAGGCGTCACGATGAATCGAGGCTCGGGTCATTATGTGTATTTGTATTATTTATTTATCTGTTGTCGTTTCAGCTTTATGACAAAATCAACACCAGGTCGTCTCCTCAGATCAGAAATCCCCCTAGTGACGGCGTGCAGAGAGCCAAAGAGGTGAGGAATTTGCTGCCAGCGTAGTTCTCTGACCAGTAAAGCGATGTTCAGTGACATATAGTCTGTTAGTCTGTTAGGTATTACGCGCGTGCCTGAGATTCATACCTCTTTCTTGTTATTTCTCCTCACCAGGTACTGGAAACCATCTCCTGTTACCCAGAGAACATGGAGGCCAAGGAGCTCAGGAGGATCCTCACACAGCCGCACTTCATGGTGTGATGTTACTGAAGCCTGCGTGTGCACACGTGTGCACACGTGTGCGCACGCACACACACACACACACGCGTGGAGCAACGTACATATACATACTTAGTCACTGGCTTTGTCAGTGCACGTAACGTGTGCTTATTGGTGTGTGTGTGTGTGTGAGAGATTACAACCTAGTCAGAAGTAGGGTGTTTTGACAATCCACATAACTCCCTCGGCCACAAAGCTGCTTAGCACCTGAGCTCGGCGAGCCCTCCGGCAGGGAAAGACACAGAGGCGGGAGAGTTGGAGCTGTAGGAGGAATGCGCTGAAGGAATTCAGTGTGGATATAGGGTGGGTTTTTTGCGGTGACTGTCGATGTTTGTCAGGATGGACGTTTAAACTGCAAAGTGAGGTGGAAGAAATAGGCAGAGTTGGATTTTGTGGAGAGGTATGGTACATTTTTGGGGTCTGTAATTGCTTTGCCTCAAAGAGTGTAGCTGGTTTGTTGCATGCAGTTTTGATCTCTGTTTGTGGATAAAACGGTATAACGGCAATTGGTTGAGTGAGAAACTTTTTGTGTGGGATACCTGTTTTGTAGCGGTACTTTTTTGATTAACTGTCACAAAATGGCGCAGTGGCTAAATTTTGCACAATGAGGCGTTTCCTCTCTGCCGATTCAGTCTTTGACACTCAGCGGAGCGGTCACACCCTAGGTTCGCTTCAATCCAATTAGGCCCTCCTGCTCTCTGACCTGACTTCATCCTGCCACACACTTTAACTGCGCCGCTGGCAAAACTGGCGCAAAGGGCCTGTAAGTTTGCCCGTTGTGACGTATCGTCGCGCTATGCGGCGTCGCTCCGATAAACAGATGTGATTGTTTGGCAAATGCAGACAGTAGACGTGTTTGTAGTAAAACCACAGTGTGTCAGTTATAGGATTAGTGGCCAAAGAGGAGGATCAGCGTAAGCTGCACTATCCCCGGCCCCCCCTTCTTCACTGGGGTCTGGTAATATGTACAGTATCAGTTTTATATACATGAGATTATTTTGGACCATCGGGACAGTCTGTTGGCGGAAGAAGCTGTTTGCTTAGTTAGTTTGTAATGGTGCGGCGATATAGGTGGGGAGATGGGATTGTTTTGGTTGGATGCGGTTTTGAGTCGGGCCGCTCCTTACAGCGGCCACGCTCCACACCCTCGGGAGAAGGTTGACCGCCAGGTGACGGAAGCCTATCTCTCAACCTGGATTGCTCCCAGACCCTGCTAGTCCTTTGTGGGGGGTGTTTTTTTGTTTTAAATTTTCTTTCTTGTAGTCTATGTTGTGGAGGGGAATTGGTGGGAGAAGTGAGAGGGAAGAAAAAGGGAAGGAGAGAGGAGATGGACATGGTTATGGTTGTAGCTGGGGACTACGGTCATGTAAGTGGCTTAGATTTTGGGAGTGAATTATGTTTAGGATTTAGAGAGGTGAAAAATATATTCCAGATGTAGGATATGTTGCGGTGGGTCCTGAGAATCTTAATATTTGTCTGTCCGTCTGTGTACATCCAGGCTCTGCTGCAGACCCACGACGTGGTGGCCCACGAGGTCTACAGCGATGAGGCGTTGAGGGTGACCCCTCCACCCACCTCACCGTACCTTAACGGAGACTCCCCGGACAGCACCAACGGAGACATGGACCTGGAGAATGTTACCAGGGTTCGCCTGGTCCAGTTTCAAAAGAACACTGATGAGCCCATGGTGCGTAGACAAATTCTGCCGCCAAATGTCAGATATGTGACGTGTACTCTGTTTTTGTTGAAGCAGTATTGCTTTTGCAAGTATGCTTCGCCTTCACAAGGTACTATAGGATCTAGACTAGATGCAGACTTAAGTTTGTGTGTGTGTGTGAGAGAGAGAGTGAGTGAGTGAGTGGTGAGTTAGCATTTCTTTAAAGCCACTTCACAGTAAAAAGAAGTGCAGTGATTTGCTGTGATAATGCAGAAAGTATTCCTTTTGCACACTGCAGCTGTGTTCCTGTTTTATGAAATACAGAAACACATAGATCCTTTTCAGAGCTGGTGTTGACATGTGTCTTCAGTGATCTGATCATGAGTGGGCAGCTGTAAATATGTCAGTTCACACCTGGAGTTAAAATGTGTCTCTGCATGAGTGTAGAGTGAGCACTTGTGATTGGATCTCACTTCCCCGCTTCATATGCAAAGAAACAGTTATGTGTTGTTTTTAGCCAATGGAGTGTTGTTTTGTGTATATATATATATGTATGTATGTATGTATGTATGTATGTATGTATGTATTGTGGTGTTAATGCCATAATTTAGAATGTACTCTTGTTGAAATGGGGCACTAGTCCTCTGAGAGGACAACAATGAATTACTTCATTGATAAATTTATCAATCTCATGTCAGAAGCTGTGACTTCTTGATTCAATGGATTGCCAGTGTCTATGTCAAAAGAACACAACAGGACAACAGCTGGGTGTAAATAAAGGCGTTTATTAAGTAAATAACCATAAAGATGAAAATAATAATGAAATGAGCAGTGTGATGAATTGGCAATGGTGGGAGAGAATATGTTATGGCTATACATATAATGATACCACGTCTACGAATGAGATTAGGTAATTAAATATTACTATATTATTTTGACATCGACCCAGTCAAGAGCAGAGAGTTAAGACTGGCCTGCTATGAGTTGTGCTGTAGCTGGAGACCCTTGGCTGGAACCCAGGTGGCTGCGGTTGCTGCTGTTATCACGGTGACTGATTGTGCCTGTGTGTCAGTGATTGTGATGGAGTTTGCCAGGATATGTTCTGTCTGAGTTTGTGGCTCTTAGCTTAGAGCTAAGAGTTTACATGGCTGCAGAGCTTTGAGCTGGGACTCTGAGCTTTGAGCAAAGTTCTCAGCTTCTAGTTTTCTGCATTGTTTTTCTAGCTCTAGCTTCTTCCTTCAGCAATGTGTGAATTAATCACAACTGTTTTATCCCCTGGGGGCTGGTGCACGTTTCAGGGGTGTCACCTGTGTTCTTCTTTGTTTCAACTTGGGGAAGAGAGTAATTTTCCATGGAACTTTTGAGTAGTTTAATTCTACAGTTTACCTATAAACTTGCATATCTGTGTTCTGTAATAATAATAATAATAATAATATGGACATTCTGGATGTCATGTGGTGTGTGTTTGCTTGTGTGAAGGATGCTGACAGTACGGTCACATTAAGGACATTGATTTAAAGTCTACATGTTACATTTCAAACATTCTATGGGATAGAAGTTTGGGATTGAACTGTTGCATAGAAACATCTCATGAGTTACAGAACAGTTAGATATTTAATTATATATTTATTTTTCCTCAGATCTGTGTCTGTGAAGAGAGTTGTGCTGGTCACTACCCAGGATTGGAATGTGGGTTGTAGTTAATGATTCTTATCTAGAGAGGGATAGAGGAAGGGATG